CTGCACTCCAGTCTGGGTGACAGAGTGAAACTCCAACTCAAAAAAAAAAAAAGTGCTCTGGCCAGGCTCAAGGGCTCAGCCTGTGATCCCAGCACTTTGGGAGGCCGAAGCAAGTAGGTTGCCTGAGCCCGCGGATTTGAGACCCACCCGGGCAACTTGTCAAGTCCTCGTTTCTACAATAAATCAAAAATTAGCCAGGCGTGGTAGCACACGCCTATAGTTCTGGCTACTTGGAAAGCTGAGGTGGAAGGATCGCCAGAGCCCGGAAGGTCGAGGCTGCGGTGGCCGGGAGTGGCCACTGCACTCCAATCTGGGCGACAGAGTGAGACTCCGACTCAGAAAAAAAAGTTTTTCTCTAAGGGCTGTTGGGAGAAATTAAATGATTCAATATGTAAAGCACCTGAAACAGTGCCTGGTCCCTCATGATATGTAAGTGCTAAGCTCTGATCATCATTTCTCTCTAGGGCTATTTTATTAGTGGTGGGGTATGAGAACAGGAGGATGGGGATGAGAGAAGTGGAAGTGAGGGGGGAGGGGAAACAGGCAGCAGAGAACAGCTCGAGAGAAGAGGGGAAGCCTGGAGTGGGTGCCAGCAGCCCCCTGAACGGGTGAATGGTGCGCTGGGAGCTCCTGGGAGGGGTTGGATGTCAGTGCAACATGGCCTTTCCCCCAGAACTTCCTCCATCTTTCTTTAAAAATTGTTTTAATTTTAGCTTCAGGGGGTACACATGCGTATTCGTTACATGGACGTATTATGTAGTGGGACCACCTCCATCTTTGCCTAAGGATAGAGTCAGTACCAGCTACCAACGCTTCGCTTCGGGAGAAAGGGAGAGAGAGAAGAAGGGGAGGAGCGCCTGCAGGTCTGGGGGGGCCAGCCCCTGGTGAGCCGTATCTCAGACCGGCTCCGCAGGGTTCTGTGGGTGGGAGGCTGGAGGCTCCCTGCTGCGAAAATGACTTCTAAATCTGGCTGTGTCTGCCAGCCAGCCAGCCCTGAGACGGAGGCCACAACCATCCCCCACCTCGGGACAGCCTCACTGGTCAGGAGTAGAGACAGCAGACGCAGGAGGATGTGGTCAGTGTGGGGCAGCAGGACCCAGGTTAGCGCAGGACCCTCCCAACAGCCAGGTTCTTCCCAGGGAAGTCCCACGTGGGGATCCAGTTAATATGACTTTAGAGAAATCCAGAACCCTCTCCTTCTTTCAGGCTCTCGGGAGAGCTCTGGGACTTCCCTAGATCTGCCACAAATGGGTAAAGGAACCCAAGGATGAGGCCATGACTCTGGGACTTCAGAGGGTGTCGAGGTCCAGGTGTGGGGGGGGGTGTGTATGAGGAAGAGAGGACCAGGAGAGATAGCTGAACGGGAGGATATAGGAAGCATACAAAACATGTCTACGGGGAAACAAGTCCGCATTCACTCAGTCGCTCGCTTGTTCACTCACCCACTGGACATGGATGCCAGGTGCTGGGGACACAGAAGGAACTCGGGCATGCTTCCTACCTTCAGGGAGCTCACGAGCTGGGGTGCATGCAATATGGGGGAAAGGCTGTGGGAGAGGATACCACCAAGTCACTGCAGCGCAGGCAGAGGGCATAACATTTGTTAATGAAGGCACTGAGGGAGGGAGTATTAAAGAAGCAGCAGCTCCCACATTACAACTTATGGAGAAGGAAAATGTCCACAGGCCTCTGGGAGACAAGGCTGAGGATGTGTATGTCAGGGCAGGGAGGTTCAGCCTGGATGCCGTCCCACTTCTGCGTGTCCTGGAATGGGGAGAGTGCTCTCCCTTGAAGCTCCTGTTACTGCATAGCATTTGTGAGTCCTTTTGTGGATAAAAGCTCCATTCATCCATGTACCTATCCATTCCCCTATCCATCCCACCCATCCACTTAGCCATCCATTCACCAACGCATCTGTCACCTATTTGGCCATCCATACTTCCATCCATTTATCCATCTGCCCATGTGTTCATTCATTCATCCACCCCTCTATCATTTAATGGGGGCATATGATGTGCCTAGTTCAGTGCTGTAAAAGCCAGCCTAGAGCCGGGCTCAGTGGCTCAGCCTGTAATCCTGTGCTTTGGGAGGCTGAGGTGAGTGGATTGCCTGAGCCCGCGGGTTCGAGACCCGCCTGGGCAACTTGGCGAGACCTCATCTCTACAATAAATCAAAAATTAGCCGGGTGGGGTAGCGCGCGCCTGTACTTCCAGCTACTTGGAAGGCTGAGGTGGAAGGCTCGCCAGAGCTCAGCAGGTCGAGGCTGCAGTGGCCGGGAGCGGTCACTGCACTCCAGTCTGGGTGACAGAGTGAGACTCCAACTCAGAAAAAAAAAAAAAAGCCAGCCTAGTAGAAGGATGAGTAATTTACACAGATAACTACCAATGTGATGGCCGGTATGTGCTGGTAATGAAAGCCTTGCCAACAAGACGCTTCAAGAGGTGAAATGGGCAAGGCCATTGTGCCAAGAAAATTAGAAGTCTTCACAGAGGGAGGGATACCCGAGACGGGCCTCTACAAGGGGAATTGGGGACGGGGAACATTCCAGGGTGTGGGCAAAGGTAGAGAGGTGGGAAAACACATGGCTTTCACAGGGAATGAAGGCATTGGGGAATGCAGAGGTGCAGAGGGGTGGGGTTCTGAAAAGATGTGTGTGGGCTGAATCACAAAGTGTTTCTTGAGAGCAGGGATAAAACATTTGTGCTTTAGTGAAAGGAATTGAGGGGGAGGTGAGTAATAGAGCGTTTCTCAACTGGGAATGTTCTAGTGCCTCCTCAACACCTATAGAGTTTTTTTCCTCCTGCCTGATTGTAACCTTGTTGGTCATGTTGCATTGTGGCATTCCCTGCTGGATCGTGAGCTACAAAATCAAAGTGTGTGACTTTGATTTCGTTCTGTATTCCCTACAAGCTTGGCATGGAGTAGGCTCTCAGAAAATAGTGGAATAAGGAAGGAAGAAATGATAAAAAACCGTGCCACAGGAACACTGGCATGGCGCTGTCAGGTAGGAGAAAGA